GCTAGTACCATTTTTCCGGAATGGGTCATGCGAATATTACAGTTTTTTTTTTCAAATTTTATTTCAAATCAAGTATTTCCAAAATCATGCCCCGGAATCACAAACCCGCTGTATTTTTGGAATAAGCACGTCGAATTGTATATACCAATTTTTTTTTTAAATTCTTTCTTAGACAGTTTCTTCAAAACCAAAATTTTTCAATAGTGCGAAAATTTTGGATTTTTTCGATCAACTTCGAAACCTAACTAAGTACATTTTCTTGTAGATTTCGACCTCCAGAAGTTACTTTCAGCCTCACTTCTTCGATAACTCGTACTATTTTTCCAGAATCGTCCATAGAAATATGAGGTTTTTGAATTAGCACGTCATAGAATTTTTTGAGGATTTTTAGACAAATTTTTCAAAACCAATTTTTTTATGGAAATTTCAGAATTTTTCGACCACTTCAAAAATTAACCCAAGACATTTTTTTGTACAATTCGACTTCTAGAAGTTACTTTGGCCTCATTTCTTATGTAATAATTACTACAATTTTTTCAAAATCGTCCATTGAAATGTGAGTGTTTTAGATTTTTTTGTAAAATTAATTTCAAAGCGAAAATTTCAAAAATCTTGCCCTGGAACCATAAAACATTATAATTTGGAATTAATACGTCCAAATCTATTATGTCCCAAATTCGTTTAAGAATTTTTAGAGAATTTTTTCAAAACCAAAATTTTTTAATATGGAAATTTTGGAATTTTTAGACCAATTTCGAAACTGAACCAAAGACATTTTCTTGTACATTTCAACCTCCAGAAGTTAACATCGGCCTCACTTATTCTATAGCTACTACCACTTTTCCAGAAAGGGTCATTCGAATATTAGTGTTTTTGTTTTTTTTTTTTCAAATTTTATTTCGAACCAGATATTTCCAAAATCATGCTCCGAGGCCATAAAAATGCTGTATTTTTGGAACGAGCACGACGAAATATATATCCCAAATTTTTTTGAGGATTTTTAAACAGTTATTTTCAAAATCAAAATTTTTCAATAACGTGAAAATTTCGGATTTTTTTAACCAACTTCAAAACCTAACTAAAGACATTTTCTTGTACATTTCGACCTCCAGAAATTACTAAGGTCCAATCATTTATATAATATGAGCTTTTTAAACCGAATTTTACTAAAATCCTGCCTCCACTATATTTTCTGGAAAATTTCTAAAATCTTGCCCCGGGACCATTAAAACACTATATTTTTAAAATTGACACGAGCAACTGAAATATATCTTAGATTAGAATTTTTTCACAATTTTTAGACAACTTTTTCAAAACCAAAATTTTTTAATATGGAAATTTTTGAATTTTTTGACCAATTTACAAACTGAACTGAAGATATTTTCTTGTACATTTCAGCCTTCAGAAGTTAATATCGGCCTCACTTATTCTATAACTACTACCATTTTTCCAAAATCGGTCATTCCAATATTAGTTTTTTGATTTTTTTTTCCAAACCATAAATAGGCCGTATTTTTGGAATGAACACGTTGAAATGTGTATTCCAAAATTTTTTGATAATTTTTAGACAAAATTTTTCAATTGTGTGAAAATTTGGAATTTTTCGGCCAACTTCGAAACCTAACTGAAGACATTTTCTTGTAAATTTCAACGTCCAGAAGTTACTTTCAGCTTCATTTCTTGGATAACTCATACAATTTTTTTAAAATCGTCCATAGAAATATGACCTTTTTGAATTTAAAAAAGAAATGCATTTTCAAACCGAATTTTTCTAAAATCTTGCTTCCACTTTATTTTATGGAATTAACACGTCAAAATCTATATCCCAGAATTTTTTGAGGATTTTTAGACAAATTTTTCAAAATCTGTGTTTTGAAAATTTTAGACCATCTTCGAAATTTAACCCAAGACATTTTCTTTTTCTTGTCCCGGGACCATTAAAACTCTTATTTACCAGAATTTTTAGAGATACTTCTTCAAAACCAAAATTTTGTAATATGGATTTTTAAAATTTTTTTTTGACCAATTTCGAAATTGTACATTTCAACCTCCAGAAGTGAATATCGTCCTCACTTATTCTAAAGCTACCACCATTTTTCCAGAATCGGTCATTGAAATATTACAGTTTTTTTGATTTTTTTTTTCCAAATTTTATCTCAAACCAAATATTCCCAAAATCCATGCCCCGAGACTGTAAAAACGCTGTATTTTTGGAATGAGCACGTCTAAATATATATCCCAAAATTGTTTGAGGATTTTCGAACAGTTTTTTCAAAATCAAAATTTTTCAATAGTGTGAAAATTTCGGAATTTTTCAACCTCCAAAAGTACCAATTTTTCAGGATTGTCCATAGAAATATGAGCTTTTTGAATTAAAAAAATGCATTTCAAACCGAATTTTTCTAAAACCTTGCCTTCGCTATATTTTTGGAATCCAAATCTATATCTTGGAATTTTTTTAAGATTTTTAGACACATTTTTTAACACCAAATTTTTTTGTGGAAATTTCAAAATTCTTCGACCAATTTCGAAATTTAACACAAGACGTGTTCTTGTGCAGTTCGACTTCTAGAAGTTACATACTCGTCCTCATTTCTTTGATAATTCATACCATTTTTCCAGAGTCGCCCATTGAAATGTGTTTTGGATTTTTTTGTAAATGTATTTCAAAGCGAAATTTTCGAAAATCTTTCCCCGGAACCATCAAAACGTCATATTTTTGGAATGATTACGTTCAATTTTTTGAGAATATTTAGAAAACTTTCAAAACCAAAATTTTTCTTTATGAAAATTTTGGAGTTTTTGACGAATTTTGAAACTGAACCAAAAATATTTTCTTATACATTTCAGGCTCCAGAAGTTAATATCGGCCTTGCTTTTTCTATAACTACTACGATTTTTCCAGAATTATGCATTCAAATTTTAGTTTTTTGGGTTTTTAGTCAAATTGTATTTCAAACCAAATATATCCAAAATCATGCCCCAAAACCGTAAAAACGTTGTATTTTTGGAATCAACACGTCGATTTTGCTACAATTTTTCCATAATCGCCCATTGAATTGAAATGTGATTTTTTTGTAAATATATATATGAAAGCAAAAATTTCTAAAATCTTGTCCAAGTCTCTTATATCACAGAATTTTTTAAAAATTTTCAGAGAACTTTTTCAAAACCAAAATTTTTCAGTATGGAAATTTTTGACCAAATGCGAAACTGAACTACAGACATTTTCTTTACAGTTCGACTTCCATAAGTTAACATCAGCTTCACTTCTTCTGTAACCCCTACCATTTTTCCAGAGTGGCTCATTAGTTTTTTGGATTTCTTTTTTCTTCAAATTGCATTTCGAACAAATTTTTATTTCCAAAATCATGCCCCATAGCCATACAAATTTTGAAGAATTTTTGGAATCAGCACGTTGAAATCTATATACCAAAATTTGTTTGTTGTACATTTCGACCTCCAGAAATTACTTTCGGGCTCATTTTTTTTATTGTATATATTTCAAATCGTGCGTTTCTAGAATCTTATCCCAGGACCATGAAAATGATATCTTTTTGAAACCAGCATCTGGAAATCAATATCCTAGAATTTTTCAGGATTTTTGCACACATTTTTCTGGACCAAAATTTTTCCTTTGAAAATTTCAGAATGTTACAGTCAACTTAGAAGACACCAAACCAAAGACATTTTCTTCCTCATTTCGATCTCCAGAAATCACTTTTGACCTCATTTTCTCGATAACTGCTGTCATTTTTTCAAAATCGCCGGTCAAAATATGAGTTTTTTGAATTTTGTTCAATTGCAGGTCAAAAATAATGTTTTTATAAAATCTTGCCTCGTGACCATAAAAAACTTTATATTTTTGAAATCAATACGACTAAATCTGTATCTCAGAATGTTTTGAAGATTTTCAAACAAATTTTTGAAACAAAATTTTTTTGGTATTATGAAAATTTTGGAATTTTTCGACCACACTCTAAACTTGACCAAAGACATTTTCTTGTACATTTCGACTTCCAAAAGTAAGTTTCGGCCTCGATAAAAACGCTGTATTTTTGAAATCAACACGTCGAAATTTATATATCATAATTTTTTGAGAATTTTGAGATAACTTTTTCAACACCATTTCTTCGATAACCCCTAACATTTTTCCACAATTATCCATTAAAATACCATTGTTTTGCTTTTTGCAAAAATTTGGGGAAAACCTTAAGGCGGATTCATAAACCACAAGTACAGGAGTATGTTATTTAATAAAATTGAAACACAGACGGCAGACAGACAAACAGAAACGAAATGGACTGGAATATAATCGAATATAAAGTTTCTTTTTTGTTAATTAATGCTCAGAACCTACCAAGTGTTCTTACAGAAAAAAAAAACAAATCCTCTTGAAAAAACGTATGTTCACTTTTACAAACGGAGCAACCCAACAGTAGTTGTAAGCAATTAATAAATATTAAACTTCATAATAAGAACGAAATTAATAGTTGTAAATAATTAAGATATGCCATCATTAATAGGATTATGGCTACAATGTAATTACAGTGTATATTAAAACGGAAGGAATCTGCACGAACAGTACTTTAACTAATTAGTAAACTAGATATGGCTATGCAGAACAGATGTGATCATTCAGAGTTTAATAACCCCTTTTTAGTTTTGTTTTCGACATTACTACATAGCATCCCATCCTGGTAATAGAGACGTTTTAAATATTTTTCTGGAAACACAAAATATTTCGAACGTTTCTGCTCTAGTGGTATTTCAGGTTATAAAGCGACTAATTTATAACACGGGCAGGGTTAATCATTGTTTTTGTTTTTGTACATATACTCACTCTCAGTCACTAAATGGTTGCAACATCGTTTACTTTTAACTATTTCTTTTTAGCTTCTTTAATAGTAATAAAAGTAAAAGTTGGGAGACAGCCGTTTATTCGTAGAATTAATTAAGATGTTTGCATTCATATCTGATGACATTTGTTTCCGTTGCAGGACTCACGAGGCCCCCGATGTACCCTTTCCCCGCTGGCCAGTACCCTTACCCCATTCTCAGTCCTGAAATGTCACAGGTGGCGGCTTCATGGTAAGTTACTTCGTCTAATTAAGTTCTTGTTTTCTATTGTATTGGACAGTAATGCAATAATATGCCTATTAAATCGATTCCAACGTAATTGAGTTAAATAATAAAGGTTCTCCGGATCAATATTGGCAGAAAATCGCTGATTATTTACACAAACATGTGAGACAAAAGCGCCACACAGGTACCAGCTCGCGTAACGTCCACATTATCGATTAATTATTGGAGATTAGACACTGTACTCGGGTATTTCGAAAAAGCCGCCCAGATCTGAGGGTTTTGTTTGCTCCAGGCACACGCCAAGCATGTACCCGCTGTCGCCGGGAGCCGGCTTCAGGAGTCCGTATCCCAGTGCCCTTCCGATCTCGACGAGCAGCCTGCCTAGCGATTTCTATAGGTTCTCACCCACGGGGCTGATCCCACCGCACCCGGGACTGTCTCCTCACCCGCCTCATCTTTCGTCTCATCCGGCCATCGTGACGCCTGGACCGAAACAGGAGTTACCCGACTTGAACCACAGGTGCGTAACACACATCCATCATCATTACGCGAAGCGCACAAAAAGAGTCGCAGGAAGACAATGCCACGGTAACGAAGACCAGTTTTTGCGGGGTTTGTTAAGTACGGGCTGCGCGTGCTGGGGATAATGCGATGAAATCGGTGTAGGGGAGATGATAACTACAGAGGTAACAATAGTAACAGAAATAGCGGCAGATGTAATCTTGAGAACAATCACTTATCAAACGTCTAAGGTAATACTATAAACTCAAGATGGATTAATTAATTGCACATCGTTTTACACGGTATTCCTAATGTACGCACAAAATTTGACAACAATCAGTTCGGTAGTTTCGGAGATTATCTGTCGAATAAATATGGACACAGACAGCAGGCAGACGCGGGGGACCTATATTTTCGTATTCCAAGGCCCATGAAACGCCGAGAAAACATAAAAGTAGCGAAACACCCGAAATTTTAAGTTTTTAGATTTTTCAAGTTTTGAATTTCCCAGTTTTTCGATTTTTAAATTGTTTCTTTCTTCATTTTTCCTATTTTGCTATTTTTAGTTTCGATTAATATTGTTTAATTTTTCAAACTTTCGGCTTATTAGTTTTTCCATTTTTTAATTCCTCGGTTTTAAATTTTTCAGTTCCCCGAGTTCCAATTTTTCGACTTTTAGTTTTTCGATTTTTATGTGCTTTAATTTTTGGTCTTTTCATTTTTCGACTTTTGATTTCCCAATTTTTCATTTTTCAATTTCGCGATTTAAATTTTTAGATTTTTAAGTAATAACAATTTATTTACGGAAAATGTTCATATCATAAATCAAACTAAACCAAATAAGAATTCAGTGTAAATAAAAGTTAATTCAATTAAATTAACTTTTCGATTGTAATATCGCAATTTTTAATTTTCATAATTTTTATGTTTAATTTTTGTATATTTAATTAATTTAATTATGTATATTTGGATTTTTAATCTCTCGATTTTAAATTTTTCGACTTACATTTTTCGATTTTTAAGTACATTAAATGTTTTTTTTTTTTTCAATTTTTGGTTTTCTTCGATTTTACGATTTTGCAATTTTTCGACTTTTGTAAATGTACTAGATTTTTTTTTATTTTCCCATTTTTCGATGTTTCAATGTTATAATTTATAGGTTTTTTATTTTTATTTAATCAGTTTTTTGATTTTTAAAGCTTTCGATTTCTAGATTTATGGATATTTCAATTTCTCGATTATTCAACTTTTCGATTTCTCGATCTTTTGATATTTCAATGTTTCGATTTTGGAATTTTGCAATTTTTCGATTCTTCAGTTTTCCGATCTTCAATTTAACGATTTTTAAATTTTTTAAATTACTGGAGTTTTCGATTTTTTGATGGTCCACTGTCCCAATATTTCATTTTTTCAATTTTTAAACTTTTAGATTTTCTAATTTCTCGATTTTTCAGTTTTGCGATATATCTATTTTTCAATTTTTCGAGTTTTAGATTTATTCAGCTTTTCAATTTTTCGTTTTTTCTCGGTTTTTATTTTCTCGAAGTAGTAGTATTTTCAGATTTTTCAATTTTCATTTACTCAAGTTTTGGTTTTTTTGATGTTTCGATATTCCGTTATTTGAGTTTTTTGATTTTTAAAATTTTCGGTTTCCCGATTTTTCGATTTTTCAGTTTTTCAATGTTTCAATTTTTCGAATTTTAGATTTTTAAATTTATCGAGATTTCAATCTTTCGATTTTTTTATTGTTCAATTTCCCAGTTTTTCGTCTTTTTTGTTTTGAAATTTTGCATTTTCTCGATTCTTCAGTTTTTCGATCTTCCATTTTCCTATTTTTAAGATTTAAATTACTCAAGTTTTAGATTTTTTTATGTGCCGCTATACCGATATTTAATTTTTTCAATTTTCGTACTTCTAGATTTTCCAATTTCTCGATTTATCGATTTTTCAATTTTTCTAGATTTCTTTCTATTTTTCAAGTTTTAGATTTTTAGATTTTTCAATTTTTCAAGCTTTCGATTTTTTTATTGTTCAATTTCCCGATCTGTCAATTTTTTTATTTTTCGATTTTTTTTTTATTTTAAAATTTTAAATTTTTCAACTTTTCGATTTTAGCCTATTTCGGTTTCTCGATTTTCGATTTTCAATTTTCCGATTTTTAAATTTTACTGGAGTTTTCGATTTTTTTATGTTCCGCTATCCCGATTTTTATTTTTTTCAATTTATAAACCTTTCGATTTTCCAATTTCTCAATTTCTCAATTTCTCTACTTTTCAGTTTTTCGAATTCTGTTTTTCAATTTTTTGGATTTTAGATTTTTCAATGTTTCGTTATTTAAAATCATTGATTTTTGGTTTTTTAAATTTTAGATTTTTCAATTTTTCGTTATTTAAAATCATTGATTTTTCGGTTTTTTAAATTTTTTGGTTTATAAATGTTTCGATTTTTTGATCAATTTCTCGATTTCTCAATTTTTAATTTAAAAATTTTTAAATTTTTTAGTGTTCAACTTTTCGATTTTAGCCTATTTCGATTTTTCGACTTTTCAATTTCTCCATCTTTTGATTTTTCCATATTTTCCATTTTTCGATTTTCCAGTTTTTCGTCACTTTCATTTTAAAATTTTGCATTTTCCCGATTCTTCGATCTTTTTATGTGCCGCTATACCGATATTTAATTTTTTCAATTTTCAAACTTAATTTTTCCAATTTCTCGATTTTTCAATTTTTAGAGTTATCGATCTTTTATTTAAAAATTTTCAATTTGTCAATGTTTAATTTTTCAATTTTTTCGAATTCTCAATTTTTCAAGCTTTTGATTTTTTTATTGTTCAATTTCCCGAGTTGTCAATTTTTCTGTGTTCATCTTTTCGATTTTAGCCTACTTCGGTTCCTCGATTTTTCGATTTCCAATTTTTCGTCATTTCAGTTTTGGAATTTTACATTTTCTCCATTCTTCAGTTTTTCGATTTTTAAATTTTAAATTACTGGAGTTTTCGATTTTTTTATGTTCCGCTATCCTGATTTTTATTTTTTTTTTTAAATTATAAACCTTTTGATTTTCCAATTTCTCAGTTTTTCTACTTTTCAGTTTTTCGAGAATTCTGTTTTTCAATTTTTTGAATTTTAGATTTTTCAATTTTTCGTTATTTAAAATCATTGATTTTTCGGTTTTTATCAATTTTTTGGTTTATAAAATTTTAGATTTTTCAGTTTTTCACGTTTTCCGTTTCTTGAGATTTCCATTTGTCGATTTCAACCGACAATTTCTCGCAAATTTTTCAATTTTTCAGTGTTCAATTTTTCAGTGTTCAATTTTTCAATTTCTCGATTTTTTGATGTTTCAATGTTTCAGTTTTTGGAATTTTTCGATGTTTCGTTTTTTCGTTTTTGAATTTCTCAAGCTTTCAATTTCCCGCTGTTTTTTAATTCTTCGACTTCTCGTTTTTTTTTTAATTTTTCAATTTTTCTGTGTTCAACTTTTCGATTTTAGCCTATTTTGATTTCTCGATTTTTCGACTTTTCGATTTCTGGATATTTTGATGTTTCAATTTTTCGATTTCCCGGTTTTTCGATCTTCAATAATTTTAAATTACTCGAGTTTTCGATTTTTGATCCACTATCCCTATTTTTCATTTTTCAATTTTTAACTTTCTCAATTTTTTTCGGTTTATCTAAATCTCGAATTTTCAATTTTTCGATTTATCGATTTTTTAAATAAAAATTTTTCAATTTGTCAGTGTTTAATTTTATCAATTTTTTTTCGATTTTTAAGTCTTTCATCCTTTCGATTTCTTGATTTATCGAGATTTCAATCTTTTCATGTTTCAGTGTTTCAGTTTTTGAAATTTGTCCATATTTTGATTTTTCGATTTTTCTATTTTCCACTTTTTCGTCATTTCGGTTTTGGAATTTTCCAAATTCTCGACTGTTCAGTTTTTCGATCTTCAATTTTCCTATTTTTAAATTTTAAACTACTAGAGTTTTCGATTTTTTTATGTTCGATATTTCATTTATTCAATTTTTACACTTTTAGATTTTCCGATTTCTCGATTTTTCGGTTTTACGATGTTTCTATTTTTCAGTTTTTCTTTTTTTTATTGATTTAACTAGATTTCAATTTTTTTAGATTTTATTTTATTTTTAAGGTACAACTATTTTTAAATTTTTTAGTTTTTAAATTTTTAGATTTCTCTTTATTTTTTAAATATTTCAATTTTTCAGTGTTCAACTTTTCGATTTTTGATTTCTCGATCTTCATGTTTCAATATGTTAATTTTTTGAAAATTTTCGATGTTTTGATTTTTCCATGTTTCGATTTTTCGATTACACAGATTTTCGTCATTTCAGCTTTGGATCCATTTTCAATTTCTTGATTCTTCAGTTTTTCGATCTTTAATTCCCCGATTTTTAAATTTTAAATACTCGAGTTTTCGATTTTTTTTTTTGGGTCTCGCTATTCCGATATTTCATTTTTTCAACTTTTAAACTTTTAGATTTTCCAATTTCTCGATTTATCTAGCTTACGCATTTTTAGTTTATCGATTTATTATTCTAAATTTTTCATTTTCTCGAATATTTTTCGATTTTTCGATTTTTAGATATTTTAATTCTTCGTTGTTTTCAATTTTGTGGTTTTTTGTCTCTCAGTTTTTAATTTTTAAATCTTTTCATTTTCTCGAATTCTTAAACTTTTCGATGTTTCATTGTTGCAATTTTTCGATTGTTCATTTGGTTATTTTTTATTTTTTCGTTTTTTAATATTTGCAATTTTTCTATTCTTCAATTCTCCGATTTTTTGTTATTCAATTTTTCTGTTTTTCAGTTTTTCAAGCTTTCGATTTATCGAGATTTCAATCTTTCGAAGTTTTCATTGTTAAATTTCTCAATTTGTCAATTTTTCGATTTCTCGGCTTTTTTTTGATTTATCAATGTTCAACTCGATTTTAGGGTTTTTTGATTTTTCGACTTTTCGATTTCTGGATCTTTTGAGTTTTTGGAATTTTTCCATGTTTTGGAT